ACACAGTAGATGCCCACTAGCGTTTACTGTGAAAAAGAACAAAAGTCTGTGGTATGGTCTACAGAGAAAGCTCACCATCCTTTCTTACCTGAGCAGGTGCTCCAGGTGCTCTTTGATATTGCTGATCTTTCTTATATAAAGCATCTGGGGGTAGGACAGGCAGAGGAATGTAGAGTCCAAGTCAGGAATGAACTGCTGGAGGCCGCTCACGTATAACTCATCGTCATAACCGAAGGCTAAAAAGAGTTTTCGAAGATTGTTCATCCGGCTCAGGTAAGGGGCAAACTTTCCTGTTTGATTCAGAGAGCATTTTCTTCTGAATTCCAACTCCTGGATACTGTCTGGGTATATCCTTTCCAATAGATTTCTGAAACTTGAAGTGGGCATTGAATAATTCTGCACCTTACTACAACACAGGTGCACGAGACCTCTTCTGTAGCGGACCCACCCACAGAGGTAGCTCAGGCATTCATCCAGCGCACTGTCCTTTAGGCAGAGGTCTATGAACACCTTCAAGGGCTGGCACTCTCCCATCCTTGGACAGTCCTCCACTGTCTGCCTCTTACTCATGGCCTCTGGGGAGCAGAACAGGGCCCGGGCTCCAGACCATACGGTCCAGAAATTCTCATCAACATCCCGCAAATCCAGCACTTGAAGTTTCCATCTCCTGTGAGTAACATGGGGGAAAAGCTCAGAATGAGCAAGGACCCACCCCTGACCTGAACTTCCCCTCCACATTCAGGACATCAGCTGCTTCTGCCCTCAGTGCTCCCACTTCTGTCTCTTCTCCATCCCGTTCCCCCTTGGATTCTCCCTGGCACCCACTTCTAGTACCTTGACCTTCCACTGGGAGGAAGCAGGTTCCCGTTTCCTCGGTGGACCCTGTATGGTGAGCAGTCCTTTCCCAGAGGAGCTGGGCCATGGCCAAGGCCTCTCATGGGCACCATCAGAAGCCTCTGAGCCACCCTAGCCCCCCAACCCCGCCACGCCTGAGCCAGCTGTCCCCTTCCCTGGATGCCTGGGCCCTTCCCAACAGGCCACCTGAGTCACCTCACCTGGGCCGAACCTTCTGGGCCAGCAGTGTATCAAGTCCCTTCAGCACAGCTCGCAAGGTCTCCAGATGAGGTGTCTTCATCAGGGATCCCAGAGGGAGGCGGAGGAAGGGCCAGGCCTGCACCATCAGCTTCAGGGTCTCATAATGTCTCATGCTGAAGGCCTCCATGAACATCAGGGGGAAGACCTCCCTGGGCAGCTCATCCAGGGTGAAGATGGTCAAGAACCGGTTCCTCAGCAGGCTCTGCCCTGCCAGCTCCAGGAGTCTGGATGGGGACTGGAGGCTCATTCTGACAAATCTGCAAGGAAAATCTCTAGAGGACAATCCAGTGAAAAGGCAAGTTTCTCAGGCCAATCCCCTGCAACCCCCACTTCTAGGGCCAAAGTCATTTCTCCAGCATGTGTGAAAAAGCCCTCAGTTTACTCCAATTCCATTCTGTAATAAGTGACACAGATACCAAGAAGAGTGTGTCCCAACCTCTAAAGAGCAGGCAAGATCTTTCCTAGTCCATGATTATTAGCCACTGCTCCACTGAATTCATAGCACTGTGAAATGTGAAGTTCAGATCTCATGCCCAGCTAATCTTTTATTTGATGACTTTTTGTAAAGACAGTGGGTTTCACTATGTTGTCCCTGCTAGTCTTGAACTCCTAGACTCAAACAATCCACCCCGCTTGGTCTCCCAAAGTGCTGGGATTACAGGCATGACCCTGTGCCCAGCCTCATTATTGAAAACTTCAGTGAGAAGCTTTAAAAGCCATGCGACGGTGTTATGCATCATTCGCAAGACACAGATGTTTCCAATACACACCTCTTACACATCTTAAAAATGAACCACTTTGGCTGAGTGCAGTGACTCACACCTGTAATCCCAGTACTTTGGGAGGCAGAGGAAGGTGGATCATCTTAGGTCAGGAGATCGAGACCAGCATGGCCAACATGGTAAAGCCCTACCTCTACTAAAATTAGGAAAATTAGCCAGGTACAGTGATGTGTGCCTGTAGTCCAAGCTACTAGGGAGGCTGAGGCAGGAGGATCACTTGAACCCGGGAGGCAGACGTTGCAGTGAGCTGACATTTTACCACTGCACTCTAGCCTGGGAAATAGGTTAGATTCACCAAAAAAAAAAAAAAAAAAAAAAAAAAA